CAAGGACAGCATAAGTTTGTCAAATAGTTTTCCTAACTAACCTAATCTTATTCAATATGACAGTATGATTTTCCCTTAAATGTAGCTAGATGACATTCTTCAGTCTGAGCTATTTACTTCACCCCCTGTTGAAACCCTCAGAAATATGATCAGTATTGTTATTCTTATGATACATATATTTTTAAAGCTTTTCTCCATAATAATTTTGTGTTTGCTACATCATGTATACAGTGCCTTATAAATAGTAAATATTGAATAAATATTTGATATACATATACTCAGCAAGAGTACTTATGTGTGTATTTGTAAAGGTCTTGATAAGCTTATGGAGGCAAGTGAATCTGTTGCTAAACTCTCTCAGGATCTTGCAGTAAAGGAGAAGGAATTGGCAGTGGCTTCTGTAAAAGCAGATGAAGTAAGTTTGCATTTATTTTANAGGAGAAGGAATTGGCAGTGGCTTCTGTAAAAGCAGATGAAGTAAGTTTGCATTTATTTTAAACTACCAATGAGGAATATTTTGTCATATTAAAAAGGAATTATGTTCAGTTGGTTAGAGTGTGGTGTTATAACAGCAAGGTCAAGGGTTCGGATCCCCATACCAGCTAGCTGCCAAAAAAACCCCCCAAACCAACCAACAAACAAAAAAAGAATTATGTTAAAATGTTTCTTAAAAAATAAGCAGGATATAAACCTACAGACTATTTCTGGTAAGATATTGTTCACAAATACCATTAGATATATTAATTTAACCTATGACAGCACATATCTAAGCTATTATATCCTTTACTTGGTCTCAGACTATCCTTTCTTCTCTTGCTCTGTCTGTCTCTCTTGTTCTCTCTCACTTGTTTATGAAATTTCTGCTGACTATGAGTTATATTTGGTCTTCTCTTTAAGGTTCCTGTATGCTCTAGGTTTCTAGGATGCCCAAGTCTCATCTAAAGTTTGTGTGGAGGATAAGAGGAAGAGTTGGTGGAGTTAGAACAAATAAAAAAGATACTCCTCCCAAGGTGATAGGGATATATGTGTGCTGCTCCTTTACCTGCAACCCACCAGTCTGAGACAGCTTTCAGCTTCCACTCACCGAGAGTCAGTTAAGAACAGATACTTGAGTCTTGACTCTCAGCCAGTTACCTAAATGAGCGAGATAACATAGCAGAGGTACTTAGTATAGTTCTGGCATATGGTGAGCACTCAATAAACTTTAGCTACTTTTATTGTTATTACGTGAGGGTTAATATGGTTTCTGACCTCATTCTGTTATACTTACTGGAATTGTTTTAATTTTCTATAAATTCATACAGTGGAAATACCATTTTTCTGAAAGCTTAAAATATTAATTTTTATGTATTTTAAGCCTAAGGAAAGCTTAGAAAATGGAAGATTGGAAGGAACTGTTCATAGGAATTACTTCAGTACTTCAAAATATAGATGACTTAGATGGGGAATAAATTTGTTCTTATTCATGTTTTATATTAATAAATATTCTCTCACTACTCAAATATATACATTTTCACGTGTTTCCTCAATTTAATAGGTGTTAGCAGAAGTCACAATAAGTGCTCAGGCTTCAGCCAAAGTAAAAAACGAAGTACAGGAGGTAAAAGACAAAGCCCAGAAAATTGTGGATGAAATTGATAGTGAAAAAGTTAAAGCTGAGACCAAACTTGAGGCCGCTAAACCTGCGCTGGAAGAAGCAGAAGCAGCCCTGAATGTGAGCAGTGCCCTGTTATCTCTCCCAACACAAGTCCTAGCAGGCATTGTGTTTCATTATGAAATTAACTGTGGAATTTTGTAGTCAGAAAATGGAATTGAATCCTTAATGTGATTTATAATCTTTGAGTCTGGAAACAAATGTTTCCATTAATTCAGTTTTCTAAGTTCTCATTTTTTAAAGTCCTCACTTTTTGTAACCTATTATTTTCATTCTATAAATCAGCCTTCCGTAACAACTGAGAAATAATGCTGGTGATTAATGGCCTAAACTATGGCATGAGGGATTCAGATTGCACAGAGATCCTTCTTGGTGCCTCGAGCATCCCCTCCAGATTATGTCATTCCCGCTTTTAAAATCCTTTTTTGGTTCCCGCTGCTTGTAGGATAAAGTCCCAAGCTAGGCATCCACAGCTATAAGCCAAGAGGGGCCCAGCTTTGGAGGCAGACAGACCAGCGTTTGCCACTCATAACTACCACTTCTTAGTTACACAATCTCGAGTAAAGTTACTCAACTTTCTTGAGTCTCCATGAGGATTATAATTGCTCATTGATCTTTGAAGAATCAATGTAAACATTAAGATTAATTAACACAATTTGCTGGACATATAGAAAATGCTCAATAAATAATAGTGCTTCCTCTGCTGCTGATAGCCTGGCTGCTATCTACCTCTTGAACTTTATCTCTTGTCGTTCTGTCCCTACATACAATATGATCCAGGCATACAGTAACACCTATGGGCTTCTGAAAGAATCATGGTCTGTTACCTCTAAATGTGCCTCTCCCTCAGCCAAGAATGCTTTTGCTAACCTTCATTGCCTAATAAGAATCATTCTTCAAATCTGGGCTCAGACCTCATTTCTTCCAGAGAGTTTTCAGTTATTCTAGACCCTCCTTTGTTTTCCCATCACCCCCATGCTTTTATCATGGCAGATATTTAGGGTCATTGTATTTTCTCTGCCTGCCTTGTGAAATTATGAGGGCAAGCCTGTTTTTGTTTGCTTATTTTATTTTATACAGGAGAATGCCTGTAGTTGTTAAATGAATGAATCAGTCTATCATTTAATAAAACGATAATCATTTAATAAAATGTTCACAGTGACCAGGACTCATTCTCCACCTCTCCCCCTCTTTGTGGGTCCTGAGATAACAAATGAGGGAGAGAGATCACTGAACCAAATGAGTCTTAGGACATTTTATTGATCATATGATCTCCCAGTCCTTCTGACTTTGAATGTAAGGCAGTGTATTAATCCAAACCCAGCTCACAGATAGAAACTTTCAAAAATATTTTTATGATCCATTATCCTAATTCTTCCTCCTTCCATAGACAGGGCAGCCCTCAAAATGAAGACTGAAGGTGAGGTTTCTGATGTTCAGGGCATTGTCTCTTCTCTTAACACCCACACAAAATACCACACTCTGTGCTTTGAAGAGGCAGGTTATCTAAATGTTATGTATTAGTGGGACTTGTTAACAGAGGTCTGGGGTGGTGGTGGGCAGTGAATGGTAGTGATATTTTAAACCAATTAGTTGGGGGTAGCAGAGAAAAAAAAATAAAAACAAGCAAAAAAACCCCCAGAAATCCCAAAGTAACAACGAAAGAGACACTATGCAAGACTCTTGGAATTCAAACCCTTGACAAGGAGATAATGTCAGGAATTGGAGAGCAAACATGTTTTAAAGTTTTCTACCTTTTTATTTAAAAGTATTAGGTTTATGTATGACTGTTAATACTACTCAACACAAATATATCGATTCCTAATCCCAAATACAGACTATCAAACCAAATGATATTGCCACAGTCAGGAAACTTGCAAAACCACCACATCTTATTATGAGAATCATGGACTGTGTTCTGTTACTCTTTCAAAAGAAAATTGACCCTGTTAGTATGGATCCAGAAAAACCATGCTGCAAGCCATCATGGGGAGAGTCATTAAAGGTCAGTAAAATCTATCTTTGTAAGTTCTGTGAAGTACATCAGGTGTCCCCCATCTAGGACTCAAAATAGAACAAACTGGCAGATGATAATTGATCATTGTGTATTGAAGAGTTTATCTTAAGCTGCATCATCCAAAATGTAAGTAGGGATAGATTTTAAGCCAAATGGCTTCTTTTTATGAAATCTGTCCAGAACCAGTGGCTGGTATTGTTACAGCCTTGGTGTCAACCCAGTCCAGTCTCCAAAAGGAGGCCTGTACGGTTGGTGGCATTTAAATACACTCACCAGACAGGAAACTTACTTAGCTTTTCCTCTTTATTCTTTCACCATGGAAACGCAAAGGCAATTTATAGTTCACAGATTTAGGTTGACTACTGCAAATGGTCTCGGCTTGTATGTTTAGAGAAAATCAACTGTTACTTCTTTGAAAAAATTCAATTTAGGGCTGGCCCAGTGGTGCACTCGGTAGTGCGGCGCTTGGGAGTGTGGCGGTGCTCCCGCCGAGGGTTTGGATCCCATATGGAGACTGGTCCACTCACTGGTTGAGCGCGGTACGGGCGCGACACTGAGGGTTGCGATCCCGTTACCGGTCACAAAAAAAGACAAAAAAAAAAATTCAATTTATGAGTACATACTTAAGTTAGGAAGAAAGTATTTCTTTTCTCCCAGAACTTACAGGTTGTAATACTATTTTTCAGTTAATNTCCCAACACAAGTCCTAGCAGGCATTGTGTTTCATTATGAAATTAACTGTGGAATTTTGTAATCAGAAAATGGAATTGAATCCTTAATGTGATTTATAATCTTTGAGTCTGGAAACAAATGTTTCTATTAATTCAGTTTTCTAAGTTCTCATTTTTTAAAGTCGTCACTTTTTGTAACCTATTATTTTCATTCTATAAATCAGCCTTCCATAAGAAATGAGAAATAATGCTGGTGATTAATGGCCTAAACTATGGCATGAGGGATTCAGATTGCACAGAGATCCTTCTTGGTGCCTCCAGCATCCCCTCCAGATTATATCATTCCTGCTTTTAAAATCCTTTTTTGGTTCCCACTGCTTGTAGGATAAAGTCCCAAGCTAGGCATCCACAGCTATAAGCCAAGAGGGGCCCAGCTTTGGAGGCAGACAGACCAGCGTTTGCCACTCATAACTACCACTTCTTAGTTACACAATCTCGAGTAAAGTTACTCAACTTTCTTGAGTCTCCATGAGGATTATAATTGCTCATTGATCTTTGAAGAATCAATGTAAACATTAAGATTAATTAACACAATTTGCTGGGCATATAGAAAATGCTCAATAAATATTAGTGCTTCCTCTGCTGCTGATAGCCTGGCTGCTATCTACCTCTTGAACTTTATCTCTTGTCGTTCTGTCCCTACGTACAATATGATCCAGCCATATAGAAACACCTATGGGCTTCTGAAAGAATCATGGTCTGTTACCTCTAAATGTGCCTCTCCCTCAGCCAAGAATGCTTTTGCTAACCTTCATTGCCTAATAAGAATCATTCTTCAAATCTGGGCTCAGACCTCATTTCTTCCAGAGAGTTTTCAGTTATTCTAGACCCTCCTTTGTTTTCCCATCACCCCCATGCTTCTATCATGGCAGATGTTTAGGGTCATTGTGTTTTCTCTGCCTTCTTTGAGAAATTATGAGGGCAAGCCTGTTTTTGTTTGTTTATTTTATTTTATACGGGAGAATGCCTGTAGTTGTTGAATGAATCAGTCTATCATTTAATAAAATGTTCACAGTGACCAGGACTCATTCTCCACCTCTCCCCCTCTTTATGGGTCCTGAGATAACATATGAAGGAGAGAGATCACTGAACCAAATGAATCTTAGGACATTTTATTGATCGTATGATCTCCCAGTCCTTCTGACTTTGAATGTAAGGCAATGTCTTAATCCAAACCCAGCTCACAGATAGAAACTTTCAAAAATATTTTTATGATCCATTATCCTAATTCTTCCTCCTTCCATAGACAGGGCAGCCCTCAAAATGAAGACTGAAGGTGAGGTTTCTGATGTTCAGGGCATTGTCTCTTCTCTTAACACCCACACAAAATACCACACTCTGTGCTTTGAAGAGGCAGGTTATCTAAATGTTATGTATTAGTGGGACTTGTTAACAGAGGTCTGGGGTGGTGGTGGGCAGTGAATGGTAGTGATATTTTAAACTAATTAGTTGGGGGTAGCAGGGAAAAAAAATAAAAACAAGCAAAAAAATAAACAGAAATCCCAAAGTAACAACGAAAGAGACACTATGCAAAACTCTTGGAATTCAAACCCTTGACAAGGATATAATGTGAGGAATTGGAGAGCAAACATGTTTTAAAGTTTTCTACCTTTTTATTTAAAAGTATTAGGTTTATGTGTGACTGTTAATACTACTCAATACCCTTGACAAGGAGATAATGTCAGGAATTGGAGAGCAAACATGTTTTAAAGTTTTCTACCTTTTTATTTAAAAGTATTAGGTTTATGTATGACTGTTAATACTACTCAACACAAATATATCGATTCCTAATCCCAAATACAGACTATCAAACCAAATGATATTGCCACAGTCAGGAAACTTGCAAAACCACCACATCTTATTATGAGAATCATGGACTGTGTTCTGTTACTCTTTCAAAAGAAAATTGACCCTGTTAGTATGGATCCAGAAAAACCATGCTGCAAGCCATCATGGGGAGAGTCATTAAAGGTCAGTAAAATCTATCTTTGTAAGTTCTGTGAAGTACATCAGGTGTCCCCCATCTAGGACTCAGAATAGAACAAACTGGCAGATGATAATTGATCATTGTGTACTGAAGAGTTTATCTTAAACTGCATCATCCAAAATGTAAGTAGGGATAGATTTTAAGCCAAATGGCTTCTTTTTATGAAATCTGTCCAGAACCAGTGGCTAGTATTGTTACAGCCTTGGTGTCAACCCAGTCCAGTCTCTAAAAGGAGGCCTGTACGGTTGGTGGCATTTAAGTACACTCACTAGACAGGAAACTTACTTAGCTTTTCCTCTTTATTCTTTCACCATGGAAACACAAAGGCAATTTATAGTTTACAAATTTAGGTTGACTACTGAGAATGGTCTCGGCTTGCATGTTTAGAGCAAATCAACTGTTACTTCTTTGAAAAAATTCAATTTATAAGTACATACTTAAGTTAGGAAGAAAGTATTTCTTTTCTTTTTTTTTTTTTTTTTTTGTCTTTTTTC